AGGAAGGAAGGAAGGAAGGAAGGAAGGAAGGAAGGAAGGAAGGAAGATTTAGAGAGATTAGTCTTCCTTCTTGTCTGTAATAAAGCAAGATATCTACCAGTACCAAGTTCTTAAAATGTCTTTCAGTTGGATCCTATACAGTATGTGAGTTTCGACTTTGAGAAGAACTGAAATTCACAGATATCCTTGACCAGAGACCTGACAGTTGGTACCACATTCATCTATAAATAAAACTTCTAAATGTTTGTGCAAGAATGGTTGATATTATCTTTTGCTAGTTTATTCATGTGAAAAAAGACATTAACCTTTGCTCACCTCTATCAGGTTGATAAGGTGCAGGAAAAATTCTAGTGCATCTTGTTGCCGACTGGAGGAAAATTCGGGGTGCCCTTTGCTTACAAAAGCTTTGAACATGCGTGGAGAAATACCATTGCGCTGAGGCTGAAACACAAAACGAGAAGGAAAGGAAAAGAGGCTAAGTACATTTTCGAAACGTATTTCTGAACAGGGTAGCAACTATTGCGAACCTTTATTTTCAGTAACTCTGACAAAAAAATCTATTATTTTCATTTTATCCATTTCCCACCCCCCTTCCCCAAAAAATGGAAGGAGAGAGGAGAAGAATTGCTTTGACGCTGCTTGATTCTGGTTTTGTTAGTGAAAATATGCACATTAGAATTCCGTGGCAAGAGATTCATTATAAGTGTGACAGTAGTTTATCCTCCTTGCAGAAAATGCCGTTCATTGTATGGAGCGCCATATACATACGTTCGTTCATGCGTTTCTTCACGGCCTGCACACTCTTGCAATATGACAGATGGAGAGTGCAAACGCTGATTCTATCCTGCAGATTCACAGAATGACGTTTCCATTCTTAGCGGATAATGGTAAATAGATTGTACCAACCAACGAAAAGTATAGATAATGAACAGTGGTGGGATTCAAAAAAATTTACTACCAGTTCTGTGCGCGTTGCTTTGGTGGGCATGGCATTGCTTGGTGGGCATGGCATTGCTTGGTGGGTGTGGCAGGGGAAGGTTACTGCAAAATCCCCATTCCTTCCCCACCCCACTAACCTGCTTTCCAGCTCCGTTCTCCTGTGCAGGGGGCAACAAAAGAAGACCCAGCCTATCAGCTGGGACTCGGGAGGCAGAGAATAGATGGGGGTGGGGCCAGTCAGAGGTGGGATTTGCCAGTTCTCCGAACTACTCAAAATTTCCATTACCAGTTCTCCAGAACTGGCCAGAATCTGCTGAATACCACCTCTGATAATGAAAATCAATTATTAAAAGATCAAGGTCCTTAACTTGCAAGAAGAATTCAGACCAGAATTTCCTTTGCTAAACCAAGGCGGTTATTAAATCAGCCATGCCTGATTTTAGCGCCACGGTTCTTAAACTAAATCACTGCAGATGTTGAGTGAATCACATGGTCATTAAGCGAATCTGATATCTGACTTTGAATCTGGCTTCCCCCACTGACTTTGTTTGTCAGAAACCAGCTGGAAAAGTTGCGAAATATGGTCATGTGACACACCCACCCACCTCAAAACACTGCAACCAATCAATCAATAGGAATAGAGCTGGAAAGGACCTTGGTGAAGCAGGAGACCTTATACAATGTCAGACAAGTGACTGTCCGGCCTCTTCTTAAAAACCTCCAGTGATGAAACACCCACAACTTCTGATGGCAAGCTGTCGTTGTAAATACATCCCAGTTGAGACTGTGCAATGCTGTGACAGTCTTAAGTACAAGAACTGGTCTTAAGTCACTTTTTTTCAGTGCTGTTGTAACTTTGAACCTGTTGCCAAATAAATGGTTTCTAAATTGCATTTGACAAGGAAAATGGAGTAAATGAGTATGGTAAGTTAAATGTAAATGTCCCCCTCCAAAAAAAAAAATAAAACAGATCAAGTAGGTGAATTGTGCCTTTTGGTAACAAGTGTGTTAAAGGCAGGAAATGAAGAAATTTTAGGTTGTGTCATTGCGTTGTTTTGTTTCTTGGAGACTCTTGGTTTTTGCCAGAATTGGAATAATGTGTTTGTTTGTCTTATCCTATCTCACACATAACTCTCTTATGCACCCATACACACAACTACAATGCTTAACATCCCTCAATCAAAGCTGTATTGTTTAAAAATATTATTTAGTATAATATAACTATATCTCCGCTGTTACCTATTGGAAATTCTCCACTTTCAGCCCATTCATTTGATTTCTTTCCATCTTACACTTATGCTTTAAGGAAAGCAAAGGAGATTAAAAATGAGAAACATCCATCCTTTATCTATCTATCTATCTATCTATCTATCTATCTATCCATCCATCCATCCATCCATCCATCCATCTATCCACCTATCTACTTACCTAATCTATGCTTCCTTCCTTCCTTCTTTCTCTTTCTTTTTCTTTCTTTCTTTCTCTTTCTTTCTTTTTCTTTCTTTCTTTCTTTCTTTTTTCTTTCTTTCTTTCTTTCTTTCTTTCTTTCTTTCTTTCTTTCTTTCTTTCTTTCTTTCTTTCTTTCTTTCTTTCTTTCTTTCTTTCTTTCTTTCTTTCTTTCTTTTCTTAATTATCCTTTCTCTGAATTTTCTATCCTAACTCCTTAAGGGGAACATATATTCCATTATGGTCAAGTTACCAACCTTCCAAAACCGGAATATGTTATGACACGTTTCAGCATCCGGATGACTATCTATGCGTATTTATATACAGCAATAGAAAATTCTGGCCATGCCTTCCTCTTCAATGGTTGCAAAACAGCTTGGTTAAAAATAAGATGACTTGGATTATTCAACCTTTCACACAGATAATTTAGGCAGGAGGCACTCCGTTGACGTCCAATGGTGGCATGATATTAGGATAACTCTTTATAAAGGGCATTAACAGGCGTGCATGTAAGCTGTATGCCATCCATCTAAATAAGAAGGCTATATTTATAGAGATGTAGTCAATGAGAAGAAGCAAACACGCTCATCCGTTATGCTTTCTGCCTGTGAAGGATATGAATGCAATTTTGGAGGTACCAGAAACATCCCAATGTGGTAAGGCAGCAGCTGCCAAAGCCTTTTGACAGGGGTGTCCAACTTTGACAAGTTTAAGATTTGTGGACTTCAACTCCCAGATGGCTGGGGGAATTCTGGGAGTTGAAGTCCACAAGTCTTAAACTTGCCAAAGTTGGACACTCCTGTGCTATGACATTCCTACCCACTCTGGTGGCCCCAAAATCACAGAAGTAAAACACATTTGCAGTGGGGTGCCAAATTCGTAATTCTCCCTGTGCAAGGTAGAAGAACATAACATGGCCTCTTACAGGCTGAGACCTCAAAACATGCAGGTTCTGCCCACCACTGATTGTCACACATCTTGGAGGGGAGAATAAATGCCAATGTTTTCCTAAGTCTTTCAGAAACATCTCATCCATTCAATAAATCAGAACTGAGCCTTTAACAAGGACAACTGATCTCATTTGGAGGCTAAAACATATAAAGAACAGCTGCTGGGTATATCTACAGTAGTTTGATGAAAAGAAGGACTAGCGGTGACATGATAGCAATGTTCCAATATCTCAGGGGCTGCTGCAAAGAAGAGGGAGTCAAGCTACTCTCCAAAGCACCTGAGGGCAGGACAAGAAGCACCGGGTGGAAACTAACCAACGAGAGAAGCAACATAGAACTAAGGAGAAATTCCCTGACAGTTAGAACAATTAATCAGTGGAACAACTTGCCTCCAGAAGTTGTGAATTATCTGACACTGGAAGTTTTTAAGAAGAGATTAGATAACCATTTGTCTGAAATGGCATAGGGTTTCCTGCCTAAGCAGGGGGTTGGACTAGAAGACCTCCAAGGTCCCTTCCAACTCTGTTATTGACTATATGACTGTAACTTTGTTGCTTGTATCCTTATGATTTATATTGACTGTTTCTTAGTATGATTTGATTGCTTATTGTACCCTATGACTAGAGGTGGTATTCAGCAGGTTCTGACTAGTTCTGGAGAACCGGTAGCGGAAATTTTGAGTAGTTCGGAGAACCGGCAAATAGCACCTCTGATTGGAGATTTTACAGTATCCTTCCCCTGCCATGCCCACCAAGCCACACCCACAGAACCGGTAGTAGAAAATTTGAATCCCACCACTGCCTATGACTGTTATTAAGTGTTGTACCTTATGATTCTTGACAAATGTATCTTTTCTTTTATGTACACTGAGAGCATATGCACCAAGATAAATTCCTTATGGGTCCAATCACACGGCCAATAAAGAATTCTATTCTATTCTACTCTATTCTATTCTAATTCTGATTCTCTTCATTCCATTCCAGAAAGTGGTTCATTAGTAAAACTTCTGTTTGTCCAGTCATCGGATGGCCCCTATCCAACTTACTTGACTGTGAAACATTAAACAGGGGCAGTCCTGGTTAAACTCATATAATTAAAATCAACCCCATCCCTCTTCTCACGATGAGATTCAACATTGAAGCACCCAACAGATGACTATCTAGACCAGGCATGTGCAACCCATAGCCCACAGGCCCTTATGCAGCCCTGGACAGGTAGTCCTTGACTTATTACCACAACTGAGCCCAAAATTTCTGTTGCTAAGTGAAACATTTGTGAAGTGAGTTTGGGCCTATTTTTTGGCCTTTCTTGACAGAGCAGTTAAGTGAATCACAGTAGTTGTTAAGTTAGTAACACAATTGTTAATGGATCTGGCTTCCCCGTTGACTTTGCTTGTGAGAAGGTCACAAGAGGGAAATCACACAACCTTGGGATACTGCAACTGTCGGAAATACCAGTCAGCTGCCAAGCATCTGAATTCAGATCATGTGATTAGGGAATGCTGCAACGGGCATAAGCAATGGTGGGATTCAACTGGTATAACTGGTTTGGTGAGCACGCTCAGCGTTTGAAAACCGCTCACTTTCAGCTCTAAAACTTACCTTCTGCTGCAGTCCCAGTGAGTAAAAGAGCTGAGGCGCGGCACTCTGCTGCGCAAATCAGCTGAGCTGCAAAACACGGAACTATAGGACAGACTAGGGCAGGTGGGCAGAGCCAACTAATTGCTGGAACTACCGGTTCACCCAAATTGGTCTGAACCGGCTGAATCCCAGCCCTGGGCATAACTGTGAAAAATGATCATAAGTCTGTCAGCTTTGGAAGCCATATTAGCACCAGAAGCTTCCACACTGCCACATTCTTGAGCCTGGGAAAATGGGAGGGGGAATTTCGTGGAGCGTATGTGGTTAGACATAATAGCATTCTTCTTTAAAGTCAAGGTCGTGTTATTCCTGCACCTGGCTAAGGAATAGTTGATGAGATGTCTCAAGCTGGGATGAATGGTGATTGGGGCATGTGATAGAATGAGGGGTGCAGGGGGTGGATTTGTAATTTTTTACTTATTGAAGGGAAACCTGGAACTTTCAGGTTCGGGATTTCCCAGATGTGCCAGTTTACTACTCTAATTAAAGGAAACTTTGTGAACATGTCTGTCTCAGAGTTATTTATTGGAGTTGAGGTTTTCTGGAACGCTGACAAAGTCACTGTTTTCAGTGCCGCTCTAACTTTCGTCACTTAATGAACTGTTGTAAGTCGAAGGCTATCTATATGAAAAATAAAGGATGTTTGTTATTAATAGACATTAATTACATTCTATATTTTATACGGGGCCCAAGACATTTCCTCGTCACTCAATGGGGCCAGGTAAGCCAAAACGTTGGACAACCAACGATCATTCTAGACTTTGCTGGAAATTATCCAACGATGGGTAGACTGATACCTTTCTTATAATTTGTGCCTCTGTTACATTTCTCTTACTGTTGGGAAGCTTTCTAACATTCAGTAGAAATCTGCCTTCGTGTATCTTTAATCCATTCTGCATTCTAGTGCAATCGAGAACAAGACATCCCTTCCAATATCTAAAGCAGGGACGGGATTCTACAGGTTCCGACCGGTTTTATAGGCCCGGTTGTTACGATTCTGTGCAGTTCAGAGAACTGGCAAATCATGCCACTGGCTGGCCCTGCCCCTCCCCACCTGCTCCTCCCCTCCCAACATTGCATGAATGCCCAACATCGCTGACAGCATTGTCCCCCACCCAGTCACCCCTTAAGGTATTTCTTTTTTTTTTTTCACCTCCTGACAATCGGCTGTTCCAATGATCAGCTGTGCCAGGATCCCCCTCGCTGTCTTATTGCTTTGCCCAGGAGGGTTCCCCGAGGCCCAGGAGGCAAAAAGGGTCACGTGGGGGAGGGGGTTACTGCAAAAAAAAAAGAAGCCACGCCAACCCAGTCTAATGGCCATGCCCACCTGGCCACACCCACAGAACCAGTTGTTAAAAAATTTGAATCCCACCCGATCTAAAGTATGTTAGCAAATTCACCTTTTATCTTGTCTTCTCAAAGCCAGACAATCACCATCTTTTCAATCTCTCATCAGAGAACTTACTTTCTAGCTTCCTGACCATCTCACTATCTTTCTCTATATCAGTTTCTCCCAATCCTTCTTAAAACGCAGTATCCAGAAGTAGACAGAATATTTATGGTCATTCTCTGGAGACACCTCTTTTTCCATTTTTAAAGTCTAGAGACTGCATCGGTTCTCCAAGATATCCCAAAGGCAGATTATCAACGTTCAGCATATTCATTAGCAAATGATTAGGACTTGGATGGAGAACACCAATGAATCCAAAGACTGGAGACTAAATAGGCAATTTAAAAAAAAAAATCTATGGTATTGCCAAGAAAGTTTCATGAATTGGTCCGTGAAGTCATGAGAGGTTGACTACGATATGGAGAATCATGTGGGGTTTTTTTTGACTGAGATATTGAATAAATAAAGAAAAGCTGCTATTACTCATTATTAGAAAGAAATTGTCACTGTCAGCATTTTCTCGCCTCCAAATTATATGCATTTGGTCTTCCATCTGTTTTCAAAAACTCTGCATAGCTCTCTCTCTCTCTCTCTCTAGGAGGCCTTTAAACGTCTTTGATTTCATTTGATATGCTTTCATTGACCTCTTTTTAGGACCTCCAATTTCGGGTCTTCAAACAATCATAGCACAGAAATCAAAGAATGCACAATCAAAATAAAATGCAATCAAAGGAGCTTTCAGAAAGAGCTACTTTATAAACTCTTGGCCTGACATTCAATCACTCGCAAAATTTGCCTTCTAGACGAAGTTCAGCTGATTAACCTACTGATTCAAATTGCAGCCCTCCATAAATATCTCTCTCTCTCTGTTTACCCATATAGTTCTTCCCAGAAGAAAAATATCCTCATTAGCTACCCCATTGCCTGTATCGGTTACACAGCGACCTTTCCTTTTTTAAATATACCATCTGTATCTACCTATGAAAAAAGGCACATCGAAAAGGGGCAACAAATAAGAAAAAGAAAAAAACAAAGCACCAAGTGGAAAGATAGGTGGCTAATAAAATTTAGTAAATTCATAAATAAATAAATACATAATAAAAATGGATGGATGGATGGAGGTAGGTAGGTATTGTAGATATGGTAGGTAGGTAGGTATGATAGGTAGGTAGGTAGATGATAGACAGATGATTGATAGATGATTGATCATAGATAGATAGAAGATAGAGATAAACAGATGATAGATGATAGACAGATGATTGATAGATGATAGATAGATGATAGATAGATAGAAGAAAGATGGATGGACGATAGAACCAACCAATCAAGCATCCTAGAATCGGTTACTTTTTACAGATTAAAGTAGCTGAATGTACTGAAGCGTTTAAAAAACCCACGAATCATTAAAACCTACGAATACTGATAGCAACATTCAGCAGTACAATATAAATCACAAAATGAGATTTACATGAGAATTACAGTAATTTCTATCCAAGCAATTAAAGACTTCATTACCCCCCAAAAAAACATTCAGAAGCGGTACCAGTCTGTAGAAAGAGTTATAAATAGTTCTGGAGTTGTTGTCTGTGTTGGATTTTCTTGGGAAATATAGTATGATGGGATTTTTTTTAAAAAAAGAATTTTTTTTATGATTGTTTGACCCACTCCCACCCAGAGTCACTTGTTGAGAAGACAGCCATGAAAACTGAATAAATAAATAAATAACTTTAGAGAGGGAGGTAAGAGGTGAAATATGAAGCTCTGCAATGAGTTTCCATATTTAGGGGTAATAAAATCTTGCCTGGAACTCAAAGGCTAAGTAGATGTAAATATTATGTCAATGGTTTCTCAGTAAACAAAGTTTATAAAGTAGGGCAGGCATAAATAGCTTCCTATTTCATTCTTAACCCAGGCCAGAGCTTTTATGTACAGTACTAGCTCAGTGTTGCTTTCTACAGAAGAAAGAGTGGCAAAACCTGGATGTGGAGTCAAAAGAAGGATCACCCTAGAATCTCTACATAGACACAAGTGGATTAAGTCTATCCCCACCTCTTGAATTCCACTGGTCCTTATCTAGCATCAACTTAGCATTGAGAAGATTCCTGTGCAGAGGCATCATCTTCTTCTTCTTTTAATGCCCCATAATCCCTTGCAGGGTGCCGTCTGTCCAACTGAATGGAGCTGAATGTTTACTGGCCGGATGCCCTTCCAGTTGCCAATGCGGAGTTATATTCAGCAGATATATTCTCAGTGTGCCCAGAGAGAGAAATATCTACTTCTACCTGGGATCGAACTCACAGCCTCTTGATTGTGAGGCAAGGGGGTTCCATCTCTAGGCCACTGCACCACTTTATTCCTTTGCAGAGGCATGATTAGCAATAAATCAGTTTAATTGGACATTCACATGTGGACCTGATCTTTTGCACTGGATGCTTTCAGAATACAAAGGCATCTTTTTTGCCAAAATAAAAAAAAAAAGTAGGAGTTTGCCCTGGGATACCAACTGACATAACTTTTAAACACACCCATTTTTCCTCAAAAATCTACATTTATGCTGCATGAAACGATTCTTTGTATAAGTAGTAATGTTGAGGCTGAATTCCCTTGGAAGCCACTGATATAAATCTGTGCCATTATCTGGGACAAGTTTGAACTGGTCAATCCTGACAAAGTAGAAGTCCTCAGGGCTGTGAGCTTGGCCACCTGAGTTCTGGCCTCCAGGAGGTGGCATATAGTTGGGTCTATGCAGTAGTTAATGACTCTTTGAGGCATCCTGGGGTCATGTGATCACCATTTGTGACCTTCCCAGGCAGCTTCTGACAAAAAAAAAAGTCAAAGGAGAAAGCCAGATTCACTTAACAATGACCGCGATTTGCTAAACAACCATGGCAAAAAGACCATAGCATTGGCTGTGACTCACTTAACTTGCCTTGCTTAGCAACGGAAATTCTCGTCCAGATTGCAGTCAAGGATTACCTATGAAATAATCCCCCTTTTTTTCTGGTCCCATGCTCTTCTGGTTAGTCAAGGCCTCTTTAGGAAGGGGCCTAAGGTTGTGTCCATGCATTGGTTAATGTCTCCTTCTGGCAGGGGAGTGGTATCATCTGTCTTGAAACCATTCTTGAACCCAACAGCATTGGACAACTTCAAAAACAACAGTCAGATAAGAAGGGCATAAGTCCAGACCAAAAAAATAAATTGAGAAAATGTCACCCACCCCCAATTCTCATAAAGATGAAGTAAGGGAGGAGGAAATGCATGCAGACTTGAAAGGTTCTCTTACTACAATATAAAATACCGAGCTACGTAAGCGGTGGCTTATGTAGAAGAAGGAGAGATTCAACCTGGAAATAAGGAGAAACTTTCTGACAGTGAGAACAATCAACCAATGGAACAGCTTTTGCCTTCAGAAGTTGTGGGAGCGCCATCACTTGAGACTTTCAAGAAGAGATTGGACTGCCGTTTATCAGAAATGGTGTAGGGTCTCCCGCTTGGGCGAGGGTGTTGGGCTAGAAGAACTACAAGGTCCCTTCCAACTCTGATTATCTGTTATCTGGCGCAGTGGTTAGAGTGCAGTACTGCAGGCTACTTCTGCTGACTGCCAGCTGCGATTTTCAAGGAGACGATTGTCTTGCTAAAATGATGGTGGTTATTCTCATCTGTCTTCTACTTCATTCTCAAACTGAATATGGTGGGTCAAATACCTTGTGTTGCTCCTTCATCACCTGTTCAATGAGCTCAGATTTCACTGGAGGTTTTGAATACTGGCCTGAAAGAAGTCCATGTCCCAATTTAGCCCTGCAGCAAGGGAGAAGGGGGAGGGGAAGAGAGAGAAAGCATACCAAAAGTTACCCAATAAGCTTTTAAAAGGGAGAAAGGACAGGAAGCAGAAAGTAAGTTTAAATCAGCCATCTGTCAACGGGAAATCTAATCAGGCATTGCCAAGAAGACTACTATAACCTCAAGTCTCAAAGGTGCTTTTCAAAGTGCAACTGGATTTTCTTTTTCTTTCTTTTGAAAATGTTTTGCTTCTTATTCATTAAGCTGTCAGGATTCCAGCCCTAATTAAATCATTGGACTTCATCCCGATACCTGAGTGTCCAAGGGATTGCCCTCTCATCAGTCAGCCTGACCGAGTGGACGTCAACACTGAAAGCAACTTGGGAGAATGTTAAAAAAAAAGTGCTAGCTAAAGCAGCACAGACCTGTAAAAAAAACAGGTAGAGAAACACTGAGCCCCCACAGCGGCCATTCCAGGTGGGGGAGAAGGTCTACCTCTCCACAAAATACCTGAGGCTAAAACTCCTTAGCAGAAACAGGGGCCAAAGTTTATGGAACCAGGAACGTTTGATGAGTTGACAGAAGCTTCTTCAGTTCGGGCTGAATGGTGGGGAATAGAAGGATTTATATTCTATGGCCATTAGCACTCTGAAGGTTGGTTGTTAGCTTTCTGAGAATCATTGAGGCCAGTTGGGGATTTATCTATACTCTCAGAGTCACCTGAATCAGAGAGAAAATAGGTGTGGAACTTTCTTGGTCTGTGGAAGGACTGTCTTGTAGACAACAGATAGGTGGTGGCATATCTCTTCTCTACTGAGAGAGGGATGTTCAGTTTTAACATAGATGGCCCCTTTGAGCCCCTCTTTCAAACCAGGAGTCCTCTCTGTCTTCTGGACTTTGCTGCCTTCAAAAGAGTGACCTTTCTTTTTCCAAATATAGATGCTGAATCTTGTCCTGGTGGATTTGCTTCCAGGTGCAAATCAAGGGGCTGGTTGTCACCTTTAAAGCCCTTCATGGCTTGGGACCAGCTTATTATTATTTTTATTTATTTATTTTGTCAAGCGATTATAAGATAACAGGTATAAGTATAAACATAGTTATGAATACATGAAATGGATACATATAAGAAAATTGAAAAGGAACTATAGGGCAGGGACGGTCGGCACGTTGGTGCGCTTATGCACGCTCCCTACAGACCTCTTAGGAAAGGGGTGAGGTCAATAGTAGACAGTCTAAGGTTAAAGTTTTTGGAGTTTGGGGGAGAAACCACAGAGTCAAGTAGAGTATTCCAGACATCGACCACTCTGTTGATGAAGTTGTGTTTTCTACAATCAAGTTTGGTGCAGTATACCTTGAGTTTGTATCTATTGTTTGCTCTTGTGTTGTTATGGTTGAAGCTGAAGTATTCATTGACAGGTAGGACATTGCAATGTATGATTTTATATACTATACTTAGATCGGACCGAAGGCAGCGTAGTTCTAGGTTTTCTAGGTCTAGAACTTCGAGTCTGGCGGCATAAGGTATTCTGCAATGAGTAGAGGAGCGGATAACTCTTCTTGTGAAATATCTGAGGGACTGTCTCTTCCCAGTTACATCCCCTTAATCCACTTGAGTGGGGAGAAAAGGAATGTTGCAAGGCCCACCTCCTAAGGAGCTACATCTGGCGGGACCCAGAAGAAGGGCCTTGTCCGTGGTGGCTCCTTCCCTTTGGAAATATCATCTCTGCAGAGATTAGACTGGCCCCCAATTTTACACTCTTTTGCAAAGCCTTGAAGACTTGGTTTTGCCAACAGGACTGGGGAACCCAGAGTAGGATGGAACCCTTAATAACCAAGGTGACTCACTTTGTGCCATCATTAAAATGGTCGTAAAATCAAGTCAGGTCATGTGATAGGCTGCTTAACGACCATGTGACTTATAGTCCTTGATTTACAATCATTTGCTTAGGGACCATTTTTAGTTACAACAGCCCGGAAAAAAAGTGACTTGTGGGTATGAGAGGTGGTATTTAGCAGGTTCTGACCAGCTCTGGAGAACCGGTAGTGGAAATTTTGAGTAGTTCAGAGAACCAGCAAATACCACCTCTGACTGGAGATTTTACAGTATCCTTCCCCTGCCACGCCCACCAAACCATGCCCACCGAACCAGTAGTAAAAAAAAATTGAATCCCACCACTCGTTACGACAGGATGTCTCGTCTTCCTATCAAGACAAAATTCAGTAGTCCAACAACCATGACCTGGATGACTGAGAATCTCCATCATCTCTCCACCAAATAAGCTTTATTTCATATCCTATAAAGCAGGGGTCCCCAACTCCCCCCCCCCCCCCCCGTCTGTGATCTGGTACCAGACCACCACCTGTTTGGAACTGAGCCATGCAAGAGGCAGGCAAGCATGTCCGCACACGAAGCTGCATTTGTGCAAGTGGCACATGCACACAAAAACATCCCCTCTCTTCCCCACCCACCCCCCAGGCCACTGGTCCACAGAGTGAGAAAAGTTGGGTACCGCTGCTAAAAAGTAATCAGCCGCTTACATCTGAGTGTTGAAATCTTGTGTTGGGTCCAAAGAAGAGTAGTCAAATATCCTTGGAAGATTTCCCACATACCTAATGTATGGGGAAAAAGAGGAAATATTGAAAAATTACAAATATTAACAAGTTTCACTTGTGAAAAGCAGATGTTTTGGAATCCCATAATAACGCATAGAAGGTTGTCTTCTTTTGCAGATGGGCACAAACTTTGACACAGGACAATACAGACTTTAGGTTACATTTGCTGTCTTCAAAAGAGTGGCTTTTGTTTTTCAAATATGTGCATGATTCTTTATGTGCATGACTGCATTCCCACTCATTGCTAGTAATACTAATACTAAATTTGCAGATGATACAACAGTAGTGGGACTCATCTCAGGGGCAGGGAATGAGTCTGCCTACTGAGATGAGGTGGACCGGTTGCTTTCGTGGTGTGGAGACAATAACTTGGTCCTCAACACCAATAAGACCACGGAGCTTATAGTGGATTATAGAAGGAACAGATCAGACATCCAGCCCTTGCTTATCAATGGAGACAAGGTGGAACAAGTGGCCAGTTTTAAGTTTCTGGGTATTACCATAAAAGAGGACCTGACCTGGGGTGCTCACATTGCAGCCCTGGTCAAAAGGACCCAGCAGGGATTATACCACCTGAGACTTCTCAGAAAACAACAACTGAATGAAAAACTGCTGGTGACCTTCTACCGCTGCACCATAGAGAGTATCTTAACTTACTGCACCTCTGTATGGTTTGCCAATTGCACCGTGGCAGATAGAACAGCACTCCAGAGGGTTAACGCCATTTCCCAGAAGATCATTGGTTGCCCTCTCCCCTCTTTGGAAGAGCTTTATAGCTCCCGCTGCCTTAAGAAAGTTCAAAACATTCTCAAAGATCCATCTCATCCTGGGAACCCTTTGTTTGAACTATTACCATCTGGCAGTCTATACAGGATAATAAAAACAAGGACAAATAGGCTGAAAAACAACTTCTATCCCAGGCCAGTAGCTCTGTTGAATTCTACTGTATAGTGCAGTGTTGGTATGGTGTCGGGGATTTTCAATTCAATGTGTGGCGTGTGAAGGATGTGTGTTTGTGTTTATTTTCATGGTCATAATGTACATTGAAGATGGTGTTTGATTTCATTGTTCGAGGTGCAATGACAATAAAGTAAATGAAACTAAATTAAGCCCTCCCTGCTCCCATTCATCACCCTTGTACTACAATAGCAGAAAGACTCTATTGCAGTCATTATTTTATACTTCTGTCTAAAGGAGAATTAATTTCACTGGCAAAATATTTGTGGCCCAATAATTTTTGAGACTCAGTGTTTTCATGGTTTGGTTTTATGATACGCAGAAGTACTATCAGATCAATACCAAACTATATGAAGTTCCGTATAATATTTCAGCTCTTTGTAAAATCCATGTCAAGCTGGTATTCTATTGATGTTTTGATAATCTTCAGCTAGCACAGGACTGAGCAGCTATGGCAACTTTATGACCTGTGGACTTCAACTCCCAGAATTCCTAAGGCAGTCGTGCTACTGTATATCTATAGAGTTGACAAGAAAAATCACAGATTTTGTCCATCTTGCCTCTAGGATAAGGTTAAATTGAGGGTGCTTTTACTCTTGTTGGAATAGATGCAATTGATCTTCACAAGAGACCACCCAAAATATGAAAATAACAAGGCAAATACAACTTTGTCCGGAGACAGCAATATTCATTCAACATTCCTAGTTGATGGCAACCTCCTGTTTCATGTATTCTGTTATGTGTAAATAGCAGAAATAGGATTTCTTAAAAAGATGCAGAATTAAAGGCCAATTGTCGCCAAAGAATTAGCCTCTCATATTGCCCAGTTTGCCCTCACATAGACAAGTAACGATGTTGAAAGGAAGAATGCCAACTATTGGTCTCCAAATCTTAAAAAGATTTAGAAAAAGCCTAACTTTTAACACAATTAAATACAACCATCCTCCACAGGCAAAGACATTGTCTACTTCCATCACATTATAGGTAGTCCTTGATTTACAACAGTTCATTTAGTGCAGGGGTGTCAAACTTGATTTCATTGAGAGCTACATTCAGGGTTATGTTTGACCTCGGGGGGGCATGGCCAGGGGGCATGGCCAGGTCAATGTCACTGACCGGGTCGGGGGCACCTGTGGTGGCCTGAGCACTGCCAGGGAAAACGGGCTTCCAAGCTCCGTTTTCGGCTATGATGGCCTCCTGCAACCTTCTGCCGCGGTCCTCCCGAGCTCCATTTTCGCTGGCAGAGGCGCCAAGGGGAGGTACTTCACTGTTTCCAGGGTGTCCCCATGGGCCAGATCTAAGCATCCCATGGGCCAGATCCGGCCCGTGGGTCTTGAGTTTGAGGTTTAGTGACTGTTCAAAGATACAACTGTTTTTCACACTTATGACTGTTGCAGCATCCCCACGGTCCTGTGATCAAAATTCAGACGCTTGGCAACTGACTCATATTCAGGGGTGGGATTCTACCCATTCGGACCAGTTCAGGAGAATCGGATGTTAAAAGTTACATCTGGTGTGCCAAACCGGTATTTCAACCAGCTGGCCGGCCCCTCCCCTCCCTCCCCTCCCAGGAATCTCCATGCGGCCCATTTTCGATTAACTGCAGGATGTGCGAGGAGGCTCTGGGAGGGGGAAAAACAGGCCTTCTGGAAGTCCAGAAACAGGATTGTTTCTGGCTTCCAGAGGGCCTCCAGACCCGGGGGAGGCTATTGTCGCCCTCCCAAAGGTCCAGGGGAGGCCTCCAGACCCTTGGGAGGGTGAAAGATGTCCCTCCCAGAAGTACCGGAAGTTCGGAAATGGGCCTGTTTCTGGCTTCTGGGCCTCCAGAACCTGGGGGAGGTTGTTTTTGCCCTCCCAGAGGCTGGGGGAAGCCTTCAGACCTTTGAGAGAGCAAAAATGGCCTCCCCCAGGCTCTGGAGGCCCACCGGAAGCCTGAAACCAGAAGTTCTGGTAGGCCACGCCCACCCTGGCCAATTGCTGGAATGTTTGAATCCCACCTCTGCTTGTATTTATGACGGCTGCAGTGTCCCAGGGACACGTGATCCTCTCTTGTGACCTTTGGACACACAAAGTCAATGGGGAAGCCAGGTACATTTAACCATCATTATTAACTTAGCACTGCCATGATTCACTAAAGAACTGTAGCAAAAAGGGTTGAAAAACAGGGCAAAACTCAACCGTCTTGCTTAGCAATGGAAAATCGGGACTCAAATATGATCGTAAGTCAAGGACTACCTGTATACACCATTCCACCATCTCTGCGATCTTTTCCCAAAAGTGCCATCATCAATCTGCTTGTTTCTGATCTGTTAAAACTTGACTTTTTATGAAACTCTTGGAAACGACTTACGCCCTCTGAAATTCAGGAATACTGAAAATGGCTTGCAATACGCTGCTGATGTAGGAGCTGTTCCCCATGTTTTTCATGCCGGTATACCCAGGTCCATACATTGGTTTCAGCTTTGTGCCTGATTCTTGGATGACTTCCCATTCAGAGACACGAGGTTTTATGTCATTATCTCTTAGGCCATTCTCTGTCTGAAAGCAATAACAATCATCATCATAACAGTTCCTAGGTCCTTGGTTAGGACTTGAGCTGTTGAGCTACCATCCAGCCCCAAAGGCTGTGAATATCACTAAAGATGATATAATAATAATAATAATAATAATAATAATAATAATAATAATAGGGAGGAGGAGGGGGAGGAGGAGGCGAGGAGGAGGAGGAGGAGGAGGAGGAGGAGGAGGAGGAGGAAGAAGAAGGAGAAGGAGAAGGAGAAGGAGAAGGAGAAGAAGAAGAAGAAGAAGAAGAAGAAGAAGAAGAAGAAGAAGAAG